AAAAATTACATACTGTTCATTTCTTTGTGAATAAGCAAACTTCAATGTCAGCAGGGGGTCAAATAATTGTTTCTCTCACTCTATGTTCTGTGAATAAGCCTGATTTAAATTTGGCCTTTGAGACTGTCTGCTTGTGTTTACTTCACATCAAACAATTATGCATAGTATAATCACATCAGTGTTTTCTTTATGTTTAGTCAAGCAGCAGCCATGAGTTTGTCTCACATTAGCTTTCATTACTTGTAGAAATGTGATGACTGCGGGTTTTTCCTAGAGGTCAGCAAAGATGTGCTAATCTCTGCTCAGGATTTAGAACATGACTTCAGCTGTATTAACCCTTCTGTAAATACAGGTATGACCTTTTGTATTGGAGTGTTACGGCTCCTGTTTCCTTTATATGAGCTCCTTCTGATGTAAACCCTCAGTACTGATGTGAAAGTGTGCCTGGGCCTGGTCTAAATGTGTCACAGATTTTTTTTTCTTTTTTTCATTCCCAGTGGACAAAAACACTGATGGGAACACTAGTCAGATTCTGAGAGACATGTCAGCTTGCTGGCAGACACTGCCTAAAGTTGCTTTTCCAGTGGTGCAAGGCAACATGGTGCATGGCTGCTACTCTCCTCTCTCCAAAAGCCAGCTAGAGTGGCACATCAGCATCAATGACATCACAAAAGAAGTTGAGAAGGAGCAGTCTGAGATCATGCAGGCAAGACTGTCACTTTCAAGTCCAGTAATAGCCGTATTAAATGCATTAATCAAACAATCAGATTTATACAGGTGTTTTGTTTTTCTCTGGACAGGAAGCCGAACTAGAGATCCAACAGCTGTATGAGAGCTACGCATGGATGGTACAGATCCATTTGTTTATTTGTCAGTGGAGTCGAGCCTCATTGGAATCCATGAGGGGTCGGCCTGCGTCAGTGTACGAGGAGAACATTAGGAAGGTGCGCAACTGGGCTGAAAGAATCAGTGCAGCTGACTCGTCATTTTCTTCCTCCAATCAGCTGTTCGTCATCCACTGCACCCACACAAAGGAAGCTCTAGGTATGTCTTTATCGAATGAAATGGAAATTGTATCTTGAGTATAGCTTGAAGATTCAAATACTTTCATATACAAGGACCTTTCTTTGGTCAATTCAGCATAGCTTCAAGAAGGAGGAACTAATTGTTCAGTGACTTTTTAAAATCGTGAAGTGCTTTAATGTCCTGGCCCTTGGTAGATAAATTCATTACTTACACTTTGTTCTTCATGATAAATGCCCTCCTCATCTCTCCCTGTGTTTCTCCAGGGCAACGGCTGAGGTTCATCGAAGAGGAAGTGCAAGAGCAACTAGTTGAGCAGATAAGGAAGGAGTCAGAGAGCCTCATATCATATTTGGAGGGAGCTACTGCTGAACTCAAGACAGCACCTCAAGACTTGCGTGACTTCTCAAAATATGCTCTTAGGGTACAGAAACTTTTTAAAATTACTTATTTGCAAAAAAGTGTAGAATGTGATAAAATATAGGAAAAACAGATAGATAGTCTTTTAAGTGAGGAGAAAAAAAAGTCCTTGGTAAAGACTTTTGGCTACTTTTTTGTGGTGTACCCAAAGAAGGAGGGTGGTCAGAACATTCACATCCTCTGGAGGCACCTCTTGTCTTGTCTCTTGACTTCAGCTAAATTATTTACATCAAAGACTGCTTTGTCAGGGTAAATGTGTTCTGAATTTAGATTCCTTTATCCAGGTGATGCTTACTGCATT